CAATACTTAATTGAACCATTAAGTTTGTCCATATAATATAGAGACCATGAACGCCACTTCTCTGTGAATCAATGCACACCTTCCTCAACTACTTTCGCGAACGAAACCCAACTATTGCAGCAGACAAGCTCGAACAAAACACCACTTTGTATGCCCCCTTAAACCGGCTCATTTAACAATCTCATTTCATTACTCTGACCCTAACGGAACAGATCCTTTCTAGGCTTCCCGTTAAGTGAACTCGAAGACTTAGACCAGCTTTACAAGTTGGGGATCCTGAGTATATTTACATCCGACTTTTCTGATCGAAATATGCCTAGATTTGAAATTTCGATTAGAGAAGTCGGATGTGATTGCTCTACATGTTTTAAGCACTAAAAATATATAAAATATAGAGGCGCCCAGGTATAGGCGTGTTCCAAGCATACTTAAGCATCGTAATCCATTTTTCAGTCTCTAGGTACAACTGCTCGAAAATGTTTCAAAACTGTCTGTCAAAAAATTAATCAGTTTCTTCATCACTCCGTCTTCGATAAACTCTGTTTTTAATTGAATAAATAAAATTCTTAAATAAAAAACTATATTACATAATATCGATGCATTGCGGCAATGGCGACAATCTCCTCGTCTAACGTACGAAAAAAAAGAAACTAAGCAGAATTTTTACAAATTACGAATTCAATAGTTTCTTAAGAATTTATTTCTCACCATGCAGCGCTAGAGTGTCTGCTATTGATGGCTTTAATGATTTGACTAATAGTTAATAATACGACATCTTTTTGTTGCCAGCAACCGCGCAGCTAGACGACGTTTTGCAATGATTACTTGGCGCAGATGTACAACGGCATACATAAATTTATAAACATATAGTAATATAGCTTTAGAAATGGATTTAACATAGTAATTTGTACAAATTTCGCGGGGATCGTATTTGTTTTACAGTGATTTAAATTTTATAAAAACTTGAAGCTTTAAAAACCCCTCCTGAAAATCTTCATAGTCAGGCTCAGGACTTACGAAGACATACAGTAAATATGTATAAAAATAATGTTTACTTATACGAGCTGCTTCCAATGCAGCCATACTATTTTAGAGTTGGCCTTTTTGTCAGTTGTCAGATTGATTTGACATTTGATAATGAAGAGATTTGATCTGGAACAACATTTATAAGTCGTGCAATTTTAATACCAAAACAAAGATTCGCTAACCCAATATTCGATCGGCGTAATCGCCCAACAGAGTCGGTAATTCGAGCAACTATGAATCAGTTTCGCACCAAGCTTATTATAGTGCCTAATGCGCATCCTCACAAACGCCTTACAGTGACCACCGAAGACTTTATTGCTACTGTGGAGCCGAGTATGGCAGAAGATCCGAATGGGTCCATATGCCATTCCACGCAACAATTGTAGCTAAGACCATCTATTTTATGGTAGATTTTGCAGAAGGATATTGGTTGGCGAGCAACAAAATAAAACTCGTTCAAGACTCATAGCCGAACGTCCATGAAGCGCGTCGCACGTTCGGTGAATGCGAACAAAACGAGATGATCACAATGATCCACATCTTTTCACAAGAAAATTTCGTCCAGCGATTATGCTCACTTTTAGTTGAGGAGGTACATTTATAAACAAAATTGTCGTATTTGGAGTGATGAGAAGCTATTGTGGAGATGTCATTACATCCTCAAAAAGTCACTGTTCGTTATGCTCTATGGGCAGAGGGGACCGGTGTCTATATATCTTCACAAATGTCTTTTTCGTGCCTGAATAGTAGGAAATTGATGTGGACAACTTTTGTTTCCAACAAGACCCCGTATGGCATGCCTGTAGCGAACGAAAAAACAATTTAGTAAAGGAAACTTTTGGTGAGTCGTGGAAGAGATTATTCGGTGTGTAATTACTGGCATAGGGTCCCAATTGCTGCAAATGAACTGCCTTTCATTTCTTTTTGAAAACTATATAGTAAAAAGAGGCCCGTTAAATATGTGGGTTCGTTAAGAAGATGCTTACATTTTTAATATCTACAGTAAAACCAATTTCGAATCGCAGTCATGAAAAGAGAAAAAAAGAACACAAAGTTGTCTGTATTTTTATTTTAGCACTATTGAGATAATAAAAATGCCGGCAATAAAATGTTAATGCTGACGCATTATTTTGCGTTAAGAGCTGTTCATAAACAGAGAACGGGAAAGGATTTTAAATGTATTTAATTTTTGTGTGACCAAAAGCAAGAGTTGTGACCCCGTTCCTCAGTTTACGAAAGCAAATACAAAAACCAAACAAATATATTGTATGTAAATCTCACCAGCACTCAAACCCCAGTATTCAGATTGGCAGTAGGGAATGCGACTAATCGGCTATTGCGGCAGCAATGCACCTATAAAATGATATTTATCTCAACTTCGATTTGAAACGATTAATCTGATATCAGAGCAATCGATTCTATAAACGATTCTATGGACAACCAAGTCTCGCTGATGTACAAGAAACATATGTATGCCTACAGAACGTGAAGTTTCATGTTTTTAACTACTTAAATAGGATAGTAAATACCCATATTAATAACGAAACAATCGTCAGTTTGAATTAGTTTCAAAGAAATAAACATACCAGTATACATCTCTTCTTGAAGTTTCGTTAAAAAAACTGGGCGACTATTTTGCGTGCAAACAGTGAAAAAGGCAGACAGGCAAGCGTAAATCTACTCAGATCGTCTTAATAAATTCAGTATAAATGACATTTCTCTTTCTGGTACTTTAATCTTTTGGAACAAAGTTTTAATGACATTTCATGCTCACAAAAAGGTATGAAAAGGTCAAACTAAAATGTCAAAAATATCAATGCTCACAGCAAACGTGAATTATGTGTAGAATACAAATGTGCAATTACCGTCAACACATTGAGCAGGAGCCAAAAGTCTTGAGTAATTGCAAAGTTTGCAAGTTTAGACGACAAATAAGAATAAAAGCAAGACAGACGTTATGGCTAAGTGAGTAGCAGTGCGTGCTACAAGCCGGAGTGGCGATCAAATATAATATCTAAAGAACGAATTATATTCTACAAGTCAGACAGCTGAAATATAAATAATGTTTACGGTCCTGAAACTACTAAAGTTAATCAAGCACAATTTTGGTTTCGTCGATTTCGTTCCGGTAATTTTGATGATGAAAATGTCGATAAAATAATGAAAATCGACGAGTATGAACGTCATGCGAGTACTGTTTCTAGTGCACTTGAGCTAAAAATTGCATAAAAAGCACTTCGGGCCCACTTGAAAAAGCCACATGAGTTAAAAAGCAGAAACAAAATGTTTCTTGTGTGTTTGGGATTGACAAGAAATCATCCACTATGAGCTACTCACTCGGACCGATGCTTTTAGCAATTGGACAGTCTGAATGAAGCCATCGTCCAGAAGCTTACATAGAGACTGATCAAACTGCTCTCTGGAATCAAATAGAGAACGTGTGGGAAGAGGCGTTTATGAAAATAATCGTCTTTAAGACAATACAGAGGGGCTTCATGCTGCTATTATTGCCGAGTAGCCTGAATGTCATTCTTTGGACTATTGATTAACTGAATCGATAAAAGAAACAAGAGCCAATGGCGCACCTTTTGGTTATTAATGAGTAATAACACAAGACGCAAAGCCCCAGGTTAAATGTTTCTTGAGTTAATTTTTTCCTGTTGAAATTGTTGATCAAAATATTCAAAATAGAGGCTGGTGTCTTATGATTCTGAAACACATCTTATAATTTAACAAAATATAGCAGTGCTACTTTATATAAACAAGATTTAAAAAAAAAAAAAAAAAAAACCAGAAAAATAAAACCGATGAATATTTTAATGAGCTCAAAGATGAATAAGACAATGATGTTGTTGTAGGTTAATTATAAATACAGCTTGACGCGTTAAAATTAAGCTATACTAATGAAATTAAGAGGAAAGTATACATTTGGCTGGAATTCGGAAGAAATTTTAAATTAAAATGAGTTTTTCCTTAGCACTTTTTATTACAGCAGGATCACATATATCATATTTGAAAGAGAGCGAATGTTGTATGAGGAAAACTCAAGTAAATACGGTTCAAAGAGATTATAAAATTCCACTAGTCTTAACATGGAACCGCGTTCGACGACGCTAGTTAGAGTCAAACATAATTGATACTGGATATGGCCAAGACTTTACAGTTAAATTCGAACCGTGCTCTAATAAAAGTGTTTTTTTGAAACTGTACTTAGGCAAACAAGTTTATCTTCAAAGCATCAGATCTCCATGCTTAATGGAACCCCTTTTGATAGCTATGTGACAACGTCTAGCTGTGATTTAAAGACTTACAACGAATGCCGTAATGTCCATGAACTCCATCGCTAAGATATTTTCCAAGCAGAATAAAGAATTGTGGACGGTGCTCTGGGAGATATTTTACTACTCCGGCGATGTAAAATTGACTGATTAAAGTTTGGGCGCATTCTTTGCCAATCGTCTTCAAGCAAGAAATGATTTGCTGAACGAATACTGTAAGAGAGAAACAATCATATGCTACAGCAACGTAAACTATGCCTTTATTTGAAATTAAAAAAAAATTAAGCCCACTGAGTTCGTACGTTATGAATGAAGCTGGGAATGCCCAATTAAACGCTAGCTATCAGCTACTTAGCATAAAGAACAGGCTCTACTCTGCACGTTAAACAAGCTTGTCAATATATGTACATTAAAGGTAAATCTCAAGTCAAAAACCTACTACTGCTGGTGGACGCTGACTTGCTAAACGCTTCCAGTCTCCGCGCGCTTTATCAAAAATACTACCAGTTTTTTGTTGTGACTTTTCGCGTAAGCAAAAGTGAATTAATTGGCAATCAACAAACAAATATTACAGGTATAATAAGATAATAATATAAAAAAAAAAAAACTGCAAAATATTCACAGAAATGAAACAATGTTCTGTGTATAAATACAAAATACTAAAGTTAAGCGCACGACGCGTTGAAACTGTCGCTCACATGTAAGTCAGCCGAGTGCCGCCACTGCCGACACTGTCGCCGCCGTTGCTGGCTGTCAACAATAAATGTTCTTTAAACTTAGCCTGCGCCGGATTTCGGGCCACATTTAGCATCAGAACGTGTGACGAAGCGGTTGACTGCTGCGCTTTCGACTTTGGTCGCTTGAATGGTTTTAACGGTTTGTTTTTTTTTTTTTTTTTGTTTTGTTAAGTAACTTACGGCCAAATTTGACTTAACGTAAATTAACTTGGCTTTTAATCTAAGAATCGTTAAATATCAGGCATACAGCCCGGCGCATGCTCGGTTGCGAGGTGGAGTGTAGTGCAATTGCAACTCATAGCAAGCTTCATTGAATCTCTATTGTTAATAGTGTTTAATGAGCTGTAAATTAAATTATATAGTGCAAGACAATCAAAGTCAAAATTCCAAAGCGCAATTATCACAGAAAAGAAGATAAAAATAATTTGCTAATTTAAAAAATTTGCAACACTTTTTTCAACGGCAGTGCCTCTCGAACTGTGTGAAAAAATATTAATAATAATTAAAAATGTGGCTTTATTCAGTGGTGTTCACATTCTTACTTATAGTTTCGTGTGGTAAGCATACAATTGAATTTATATGAAGAGCGATTTGTCACATCTTCACGACTTGCTTCCAGAATTGACCGATTCGAAATTCTCCTATGAAAGGGGAAATTGTGACATTTTGGTATCGAGTGCTTTGCGTGAAATTTTACTCAATGAAATGCACGCACAACTGGATCCTTCGTGGCTTAAAACGAGAATCAAGTATTTGCGTTATGATCTCTACACACCGCAGAATCCTTATAAGGCACAAGTGTTGGTGTCAGGCGATGGCGTAGTGTTAAGAGAATCACACTTCAATGCAAAATGGCCGGTCAGGTGGGTCTTATTTTATTTATTCAGTTGAGGTGTGAAAGAGCAATATCATTAAATGGATATATATATGTAAAAAATTCAACAGAATAATGAGATAAAGTCATTTAGTAACATCTGTGCTCAGGTGCTAGCTCCGACTCCGTCCATAACTCCGTAAAATATGTGAAAACACTAAAACTTAATAGAAGAAGGGATGTATGTATTTTCAAAATATAGCACAGTGCCATGTGGAGCATGGTTCTTTTAGGTTACAGTCTATGCGCGATCCATTTGGTCCAAGATGAGTTGTGTAAGGTCAGGGAAGGTCCTTTCCGTCCTAAGATTAAAGCTCTGACAGATAAACCAGTTACATCAGGAGTTTAAAGTGTAGAGTCGTAAGCATGTTATGAGAAGGATCCTGTCATCCTATTTTCTGGCAAATATTCCAACCGTCTACCACACGTAATAGAAAAATCACCGCCGTATTAAAGCCTTGGAATAGGGGCAACGTACGTAGCTACTTGGTATAGCTTACCCGATGAGGACTACCTCAACAACAGCCCTTGAAGTCATCCTTGGCATTAGGCCAATCAACAAAGTGATATATGTTGCAGCGCTAACAGTTAAATGTTCTACAAAGTTGGATCGAGCCCCCAAATCGTTAAGGACATGGTGGCATTCAGAGTGGTTTATCAGAACTCGCGCTAAATATAAAATGCGACCGAGAAAGGGAAACCTTCTAGCGATTAGAGGTCACCTACTCTAGTAGGGAAGAATGGATGGAAGGCGCGACGGTCGGTAACTGTTTTGATATCCATCTCTTTACTGATGGTTCTAAATGTGAGAGAGGCACGGGTGCAGGATTCTTTTGTGGCCGCGCCAAATAACTACAACTCTGTATTCCAAACAGAGATTTTGGACATTATTGAAGATAGCACTTCAGTGGGAAAATCTATCAGGTTTTGTAAAAAACACAGTAAATAACACTTGGGTGTAAATATAAGCGATGATGATGATGATATGATGACGAACGTTTTGCTTTGAACCGGGGAGTAAATTAGCCTGCTCAATGACTTTGATGCGGCCGCTTGAGGTCAGCTCCTCAACTTTCATCCTTATACAAACCGACCAAGATTTGGAATCTTTCTGGAAGAAGAAATTTAAACATCTAAGACCTTTCTTTTCAACTGTCTTTTGTTAGAGAGACTGAGAATGAAAATTTTTTATAGTTTATCTTGACAATTTTATTATCCTTGTTCATTTATTTCTCTAAGCACATTGCCGTTTTCCTTACAGAATCTCCATACACGGTTGGACCGGCAAAAGCACATCCTGTTCGAATGCAGCCATCAAGGATGCCTACCTCTCCGTGGGTAATTTTAATGTAATCATATTTGATTGGAGTTCCATATCAATGGATATTAGCTACGGACGCCTGAGTCGTCAATTAGTTGATATTGCCAGACAATTGGTAGAATTCACACATTTTCTTCACCGCGAAAGTGGCATTGCCTATGAATCCATATATTTGATAGGCCACAGCGCCGGCGCGCACATATCAGGCTTAGCTGGTAAACAATTACGTCCACAACGCTACGGTGTCATCTATGCACTCGACCCAGCCGGTCTGGTGCAGCTGTCACTTGACGAAGATAAACGTTTGGCACCCACCGATGCCATTTACACCGAATCAATACACACGGACATCACATTGCTGGGCAATCCGAGTACAAAACTCACACAAGCTTCATTCTTCGTCAATTGGGGTCTAGGCCAGCCACACTGTCCGAATGCAACAGCAGCTGAATTTGATTTCGCATGCGATCACTTTGCGGCCTTGTATTACTTTGTGGAATCAGTGCGACAGCCGAGCGCCTTTGGTGCAACACTGTGCAGACAACGTAGTAGCGATGGCAGCAGCAGCAGCAGCAGCAGTATTAGCAATTTTGATATCACATCAGAGCAATGGGATTGCAGCTGTACAAATGGTGTGCAAACGTTGGGTAAATGCACTGCGACAGCGTTCATGGGCGGTGAACCGGCTGCGCCAAAAAATGGCACCTTCTATCTTAGTACGCGTGCCAACCAACCACCATTTGGCTATGGCGAAACGGTGCGTAAGAGACGTGCAGCGCCTGCGAATTTCTTATACAGCAGCTTAGTGAATAATAAATTCTTCAGCAATAAGATATCCAAATGGCTTTAATGAACGCAAAAGTGGGCAATTAAAACAGAGCGGGTGAGATGGGCGAGGTGCCGAGTGCAATTTGGTTGCAAGATATATACATACATATATGTACATAAATTTTAGTGTGAAATATTATATTTATATATGTATGTACGAGTGCAATTACATATGTGTCTGTTATACGCGTTTGTTTGTAAGCCAATTGAGATAAGGTGTCGCAGCAAAAATGAATAATGAATTTACCAATGTGAAGCAAGAAAAAAGGTAAAAAAATACAAAGCAGCAAAATCTCTAGAATGTCTTTATTTACATATATCAATATTAGCTTAAGCGACAGAGAATGGTATAAGCATAAATGTTACTGAATTAAATTGCTTATTCATAATTAATAAGAAATTTTAATTGTTGCTATTTGTATGTATATGTATGTATTTTGATACATTTGAATTTCTGCTTATTTACACGAGCATACAGTTAACCTTGAAATTATGTTAAAAAAAGCAAACAAAATAATAAAAAAAATGTTCAAGATAATGTGTAGGTGTGTTAATTATTAAACGCTTAACGGTAAAAGTGATATTTTAATATCCAGTTATATTGCTATGAAGTTTATCTTTAATCTGAGATAAAACAAAATAAATAAAATGATTCAAGTTAAAATAAATAAAGAATATAAGTTCAAACCATTGAAGAGCTCTTGGAGACAATTTTCTGATAAAAAAAAAAATAACTGTTTTCTACATTCAAAATTCTTTAGAAAAATATTACGCAGATGGTATATCTTTTGTTTAAAATTTTTGATTTTTTAAAGCTGACTACACAATAAGAATTTTGCCACAGGATAATTTTTAAGACTGCAGAACAAACTGATATCCTAGATTTTAATAAAAAAAAAAGGTTAGTAATTTTAAGAAAGCAGTAACCGACTCCAAATGCAAAACATTTAAACAACAGCTTCCTAATGTTTACGCATTGATAAAGTGGAAAGTCATGAGATGGAGCTCTGAGCAAAATGTCAAGCTCTAGGCTTAAAATAATGCATATATATGTATATACAGTATAGCACACTCAGCAAGTGAAGCATTCCCCTGTGTCTCTGGTAACGTATGTGGCAGTCAGGCTGCGGGGAACTGCGTTGAAACGTGAAGGTCTGAGAGTGGTTATCCAAAGTAGGCAGGGCTGCAGATGCACAGCCGTGAAGGCTTGAGATCCAGTTGACGTTGACAGCATGGCACCTAGTAAAGCGTGGTCTACTCCCAACATACCTTAAAACCTGAACAGGTATTAAAATGACTCCAGCCATTGCATATAACCGAAATTGAGGAATGGTGGAGTAGTTTATGGCACACGCATCACATATTACCCGACGAAGCCGGGTTGTGCTCAACGCTAGCCCTGATTAGAAGGATTTGAAGGAACCCAATACGAAGTGTTGCTTCATGAAGTGATGCACTTAGACCAGAATTACCTGATGAGTTGAATGGGGTTAGGTCGCCGAAAGGGTAACACCACTTGGCCGGATGAAATCCGGTGCATAGAAACGGCTGTTGTGACAAATAAACAAACATATTAATCAGGTCTCTGTAAAAGCAAACCTCCATGTACAGCGGAACATTCCCCATATCTAAGAAAGTAATACGAGCCAAGTAAAAATTGAAGAAAATACCGAAATATTGAACTAGTACAAAGAACCATACATTTTATAGCGAAGAAGATTTGCTGCAAAAACGACACATTCAGCAAACTCCATGGTTTCTAATTAACATACTAATAATAGCAAATAATGCAAAAGATTTTCGACTCACTTGACTAGGTCCGATACGATACGTAGCAGTGTCCACTTCATTAGCAGCTAAAATTTGTTCGACGGTTATATCTTTAGCGCCGGCAGAGTCAACACCAGCCAGCAAACCGAAGCGTCGAACGAATTCGACTAAAGGAACTGATTCTGGGAAGCCCAAACGATGCAAACGCGCCGCCTCCAGTACTTGTGAGCCGCGTATCTATACAAAGAGGAAATCAAATAAATTTCAAAATTTCAAAATATCAAAGCAGTGAATTACAAACGCACTCACCTGACTACGCAGTAAAGGAACATTCACCATGTCCTCACTGCTCGACTGTAACGCGGAGGCATTTGGCGAACCACTCGCCGAATAGCTGCTGTGTTGCCCGGCATTATGTTGCAACATATAACAGTGTACGAAATGTGTGCCTGTGCGGCGCAAAGTGTCGATTATGCCATCAACGGTGAATTTAACTTGCAACATAATAGAATTTCGTTTTACACCGGCAGAGGTGAAGGACCGTCGTATACTGGATACGCGACGCAGCGATTGTGTGCCTTCGAGGCCGGCTATGGAGCCGCAGAATACAATACCACCCGCGCCACGCATCAATGAACCAATATACAAACGACTTATCTCGTCGCGGGAACTGTCCTGAAGCAATGTTACTGCATTGCGTATGGCAGGGTGCTCACGGCTATGCCGTACCCAACCATCGACAGTGTATAGCACCGGATTGGTGCCCTGCAGATGTTGCAGTACAAATTGTTTGGGACCGGCGCATTTACGCAAAAGCGTTTGATGCTCGCGATCACCGTAATGTGTAAACAGGCGCTCCAGGAATGTATCATCATTGCAATTGGGGTACATGGACTCCTCGTCCAGCAGCCACAGCAGACCGCGACGATCGTGTTCACGCAAATCACGTTGCGACGAACGCACGACGAGATTTTGTGGCGCCTTATCGATGAGTGATACCAGCGGGCCGGGATGCGTTTCGGGCATGCCCTCCGTATCTATCTCCACCAGCTCCTGTGCATAGCGATCGCGTGGCGCTACTAATGTGGTGTGATGAAAGAGCAACTGCAAACGCTCCTGCAGGTAATTGTGACGTAAATCGGAGAGAGTGGCGCCAGTTTGCAAGCCACAGCTAGCTGGATTTTGGAAGCCAGGTGTATCCACAAGCATAATGGAAGCGATTGTGTGCGCCGAAGTGCAGATGGCTTTGTTAATAAGGGCCACTACAGCCGCCAAAGCCTCGGAATAGAGTCCAACGGCAAGCGCTTCCAGTGACTCCCAAGCCTGTTCGGTGTTATCGGTAGGCGACTTAGAAGGACTCGTTCCACCACCGCCACCACCACCGGGACCGCTTGCATTGAACGCGGCGGCAGACAAATCCTCCATAGAGACACCCAGCAGTCCAGCAGCTCTACGTGCGGCTGAGGGATTTGCAAATTGTAAGCGTGAAGCTGGTCCTGCATTGACTAAAAATGTAAATATAAAACCAGAATTAATAACATTAAATTCTATCGTATTCACATTCAAACTTACGTCGTGTAACACCCGCCAGTCCTAGATGATAAATTGCCGCCAATATACTCCAGATACCACGCACTGCTTTCGATTCTATATTCAACGCTTCTAATGCTTGAACAGTTCGCATAAATTCGGCTGCAGCGCGATGACGTTCCTCCAGTTTTTGCGACAGCGAAACGAAGGGGTGATTGTCCACGGCGGACATGTTATCTAAATGCAATTCTTTTTGCAGTAAGCCTTCAGCGCCGGCGAGCAAACGACTCATTATATGGAAGCTGTGATCATTGGTTTGCCGACGACCGGCGCGTTGTCGCTCTGGGAGCAATACCTGTGGAAGATAGTATATATGAAGATATTTGGTTACGAACAATTTAATACTTTTATTAAACCCTTTTTTTACCTGCACGGAGGCGGACGCTATTTGTCCGCTTTGATCGAAGTCTAAGCTGAGTAACTGTGTAAATCGCGTCGCATTTGCATTGAGACAAGTCTTTGTATTTCCGAATGCTTCTAAAATAATATTAATAGAGTTGACTTTTTCTGCATTCAAGAAGTTGTTGTAGGAGCCTGAAAGAGGAAGAAATTTATTACGTAGAGAGAACACGCTTTTTGTTTATATTAAAATACGAAAACGGTTTGTGCAAGAAATATGCACAGCTTTGGTCGAACCAAGACGCCAGTAACGGTCTAACTGAAGTCTTTCTTTCGAATTAAATTTTTTTATTGTATTTTGCCCCAAAATTGCTCAATTTGTATATACCTCTGTCAATATATGAGTATAATTAACTACTAGTTAGTGCGAACTTCAAGCAAAAATATAAAAAAAAAAAATGTTGAGTGCGGGCGTAGATCTTGGAGCAAGTGGCTCTCTATGTAAACGATTAAAAAAGTGTTAACTATGCGGGTTTGCGCTGGACTAGAAAAGGACGGAGACGAGTAGCTCCTTGTGACATTTACCACAGCGATCATATAAAAGAGTGTAAATTTGCTGTTTGCTCTGTGTCTTACTAACATACTCAGTCACTGTGCCCTTGCGGGTTATGGGCTCTAGAATTCACCCGCGGTAAGGCATGACTGTCGTATGAGGCGACTAAAATCCAATAGTCCCCGCGACAGTCGGGGCTTTATTCGGCCAAGGACTGTCACTCCTACAACTCCCGGCGACTTACAACAGATTCAAGACCAGAAAAACTCTTATCGAACCAGAAATCTAGTGAGCGAGGCTCAAAGCATACTGATTCTTTCCTACGATTGTAAAAAAGTTCAAATAGCAACCGGACACTTTAAAAATAACAAATCGGTGGGTACCAATGGATTGCGGGCCGATCTATTTAAAAAGGAATCAGCATGTTATAATCATGTACTAAAATCTTATTGTTATCGTTTCAACTCAATAATAACAGTTTTATCATGATTCTTTAGAATGTTAAAGCGATAACAGGTTGAGTTCAAAACAAATATTTTAGTAATAAAAAAATATTTACTCCATGGCCGCCCTCAGGCGTGAACAAATAATTATCTTATGGGTATATATGTACATATATGTAAGTTGTTGGTACGGTATTTTGTGAACACTTTTCGTCTGTGGCATAATTCAGTTGTGGGTGCAGTGGCGATAATTAAAGTTGACCTCAAATGCAAGAAATGATAGCGGAATTTTTCTGCGCATGCGCCCACTACAAATGAAATTACGTTGAATTGCAACCAACAAAATACCGTTTTCTAAAGAACTTTACATTGTTGTTACCTTTTAAAAGCCTAACAAATTTATACGAGACGAAATATTGTTAAAAATACAATAAAAGCTTATGCTGAAAATGCAAATATTGTTAAATATCTAAGCGTACATAGTATATACATACATATAAATATGTGTGTATAGCATTTGTATCATACGTTTATTAAAACAAATACAAAAAAAAAACAAATTGGCATGCAAATTGGCGACAAGTAAAATGAATTAATTACTGCACCCAAAAAAAGCAAAAAAAAAACAGCAACAAAAACAATAATATAATTAAAAAAAAATATATATATTTAAATTTAAAAAGTCACTGTCACGCTTTTGGCCACTAATGCAGTTAGTTCACCAGTCTGCCAGCAGTCAAGACCGCATCAAATGAAATGCGTGTTGCATTGGTAGGCGACTTACAGTAGGCAAAGAGCTAAACTACCTAATCAACCACGCACTCATACAACAACCTTCGTCCACAAAAGTGCAACATTGCCTCCAAAACATGTACACACACGTACTTTTATGCAGTACAAACAACACTAAAGCGTTACATACCGGCGGCCAACGCCAAATAGTATAAGGCGTGCTTGAAACTTGTCGTCTTGCCAGAACCAGAACGTCCCATGAATATTAGACTTTGATCGCGACGCGTTTCCAACATGGCCCTGTAGGCGGTCTGTGCCAGCGAGTAGATGTGCGGAGGCATATCCTCCGTCTTGCAGCCACGAAACATGGAAACAACCTGCAACAACCAAACAAAGATAAATATTAGTGAGAAAAAATTAACAACAATAATAAATGCGATTGAAAAGTAAATAATTCAAATCTATATATGCAAAACTGGCAGCAACGAGCAAAAATAAGAACAACACAGCTCCACAGCGTTATACATGCCATGAACGACGCGGTCTCATTTGATTCTTATTTCACTGTAAATCAAGAATATTTAGTTGAAGACGATATTTATCGCATGAGATACATATTTAAAACGTAATCTCAAAAGTATGGATGGTTTTTTGATTGGGTTACAACCTCAAACACCAAATACAATATTTGATAATCAGCCTAGACAGCGTTTTTTACACATTATAAGTGCATTTGATGTGGTAGTCTCTTCTTCCTTTCCTTCCTTTCCTTCCTTTCCTTCAATTCCAAATTTTATACCAAAGTTCTTCTGGACGTAGGGATTAAGGGGAAATGTTAAGGAGTCATACCGAATTCGAACTGGACAGAAGCACTAATTGAGATATGCGTAAAAGGGCTGTTGGTAAGAGATGATGCCCAAACGCATCTAAGCATCGGTGATAACAAAGACGACTTGTGTCACGGCCTGCAATAAACCTAACCCCGAGTTGAAAAGCAGAATTGAAGGATAGGCTTAGGAGAACGCCGAATGGGGCTTTACAACTTTAGAATATCAGTGCACGAGTCCCAACATGGAAGTATGTACCAATATCTACCACATTCGTGCCGTTAGTATAATATTATATACTAGGATATATTGAAGTTCTACAAAAAGGTTATGGGAGGAGGCGTCTTGTCACGATACCCTCACTCAGTATACCGGACAAAAGCGGCGTAATTTAGACAGCAATTTGCCCATAAACAGGACGTGTTGAGGTGTGAATTGTCTTCTGAGCTCACAGATCTAATGAGGCTAATCATAGAATCTAAATGGTTTGATACCGTGGTCAGAAATTTGTTCCATCGGCATCCACCAGAACCTAATGTAGCTTTCACTCAATTTATATTCGTGAATGGTATAAATATACTCGTAGTATACTATCTGCAACGCCAACTACCACAGCGGCTGATCGAGTAAAACCGCCAACAGGCTGCTTTATTGCGCGCAGATAAATGGCAAGCGTAGCAGATCAGGCATATGACGTCAATAAAAGTTAACAAAGTTTTTGCATACATACGAACATATTTACATATGTGATTCCTCCCAAACATATGAGTAAATGCATACCTTTTCCGAGTAGAGCGATAGCGGTGCCATTGGGTTGACAACGAGCAGCGTGGGGCCCGCCTTCGTGTGTATCAAATTGCTAGCGAAGCGTTGACGTAAGCAATGCAACACTGACGCCTCGTTCAATTGCTTCAAATCGCAAATGTCTTCGACTAAATCTAGTGTCGATGCATTCTGTTTCTCAATATCATCCTCGTCCACCATCATCTCATTGCCATTGTGTAGCAGTCGTATGGTCACTTTATGATTCTCACGTTGTACGGGTGATTGGGGTAGACGTAGAGCAGCACAAAAGCCACCACGATGGACTAACCAAACGGGCTCACCGCCGTTACCTGTGGTTTGTGAGGAATCTGCGGCATCGCCATCATCGTTGCCATTGCCGACGCCAACGCCTGAATGTAAGTGAGAGTCATTGTTGGTATTGTTGCTATGGCGTGGCTGTAAAGAGAAGAAGATAAGAAATTAATTGTTATTTTTTAATTTTTTAATTTTGTTGTATTTAAGTTGAAATATATTTTTACAATCTTCTAAAACGAGCGAACTTGTTTTTTTTTAATTATATGTTTGTACTCTATGCCTAAAAGTATACTATAACAATATTTAACTTGTCTGACTCGACATCGAAACACGTAATACGACAAATATTTCTTAATTCCATGGAAAAAATATTGATTCGTGTTTAAAGAAAAATACAAGAAATAATCTTAGGAATGTCTTTACAAATAAAATTTCGAAGCGCTAAGAATTTTTTGAAATTAGCTAAATTTTCTAATTGCGATCGCCCCTCGGAAGGGAATGTCAACCCCTCTGAGTGTATTTCTCACATGAAATAAAGCTCTTCATAAAAAGCCATCAGCCAATCGGAGGCGGCTTAGTAAAAACTGTAGATCCCTCCATTTATTGGAAAAAACATTCAGACGCAAAGCCACAAATTGCAAAAGGAGCTCGGCCGAAAATCGCTTAATCGATTACGGGGCCATTATATATTTAAAAAATTTTTTTACAAAGTCAGTAGCCCAGAGTTGAAGCCACCTTCGATCTTGTGTTCCTTTGAATTTTGTTTTTACAGTAGCTGATAAAGGAGTTGGTCAAGTTGGGAATTAAGTTCAATGCGGGTTAAGAGATTTTATTTTATTAAAAATATTTTAAAACAATGACCAGCTATGATTTGAGGTCCCTGGGGTTAGAGATCCAAGAAGATACCCGCGGTAAGATTTGGTATTCATGCAAAAAAACGGTTGTGTGTGCTGACGATCAGATTCAGATTTGGGTAGGACCTCTCCGGGACGTTGGATACTAACTGAGGTTTCAGACAGAATGTCGCTTTATCTTTTGGCTTTCTTAATAATATTTAAGATCTGCAAGCAGAGCACAATATTTTACAAGAGTGTACAACTGCTGACGTATTCCGATGACATCTATATCAATAACGTTGCCCTCAAAAGCCGCCCCGTTAGCTCTGTTTTCACTTGACTGGATAAGCAAGCGAACTATATGTATGGAAATCCCCTGCTATAAAACAATAAGTAGCGACTTGACTTCCGACCCACTGTTGGCAATCATAACTTAGAAGTCAAAGATTATCTGTGACTTCATCTTGCCTGTAATCAGCGTAAATACCAACAAAAATGTCAGCCTTGCGAATCCAGCACAGAATCACACTTGCCACCAGATGCTACTTTGAACTGCCTAAGCAATCGAAAAATAGTCAGTCTCATGGATCAAAAACTAAAGTAACCCAGCATTCCTGCTTGAGTCGGCACTAGGATTTTTCAAGGGAAAAGTTGTACAGAGAATTTATGGTCATTTCCGCTATGGCAACGCCGAATCCCGCAAGCGATGGAACGATGAGCTGCGCGTTGGGCAACAAGGGCAAAGTTCAGCTAATAAAGATGCAAAGGCTACGATGATTAGGTCTCAGATTATTTAAAGTACTGAAAGCAGTAGCCGCTCGTGGAAACAGAGAAAGATCAAATGTTAAATGTCCGTTCTAAGGATCAGCAGGAGAGATATCTGATTTCAATTGGTAATTCCAATTAGCAAGCAAGCCAGAAAATAAACTAAGGGCTCGGTGTAGGTGCTTCGGCTATCTTCAAGTATGTAATGTCTACGTCAATGGAGAAGAAGATTGCTGGAGAAGTTATTACAAGCGGCTGAGATAAACAAAAGTTCACAATTGTTGGCTTATATCGAGGTCATTGGCAACATTGTCCTCAACAAACACAACGTTGGGTTCCTAAAGTGTCTTCAAACATAACGCATTCACTTCTCGGCACACACGTCACTTCTGGCGACACTGAAATAGGTCAGTGAATCAAGGCACAGGTGCTGCGCTGACTAAGTCATGTCGTCCAGTGAGCTCCAGCTTTGAAAGAGTTCAATACAGAATGCGGTAGTGAGGCAGAACAGAACAGAAGACTTCTAGTCGGTGGAGAAGATGAAGTGGAGAAAGTGGTTTCACTTAGTTGATTCGGCTGCAAGTGGAAAAGCGGTGCCTGCGTCAATTAATTTTTGAAAACATAAGCCAAAAAAATCTCTGTAAATGGCCCTTTTCAGGTTGTTTTGAATTCCCTATCTAGGAGAAGAGAAAATGAAGCAGGCAGAATAAATTCCACAGTCTTTTAGCTCGCACAGCTGTAGTGCCGCCTCTGAGGAATTCATGTTGAGCAACGAATTCGAAATTTTCGAAATTCATTCGAAATATCCTGTTCTTTAAATGCAGTCTTTTAAAAACAACATAAATAGCAGTCCCTCGTCTAACAAACGGAACAAATTTCAATGTTTTCCAGACAATAACTTACAAACGAAAATAGTCTATGTTTACGCTTGATAAATTACAGCTGTTATTTATTACCTTCAACGCACCGAACCGAAGTGATTAAAATCAAATTAAAGCAATATTAGGTAAGAGCTATTCCTATGAACTATGAACTGAGCAAAAGTTCAAATGATATTTTCACACATTCAGCGCAATGCCGTTCGGCTAGCTGCCTAACCCAACGCGGCGACAGAAGTCATCCAAACAGCCGCACAGACATGCATTCGAAGCAATTTATTCTACTCATCACAGAGCACATGCATGCGGTAGTCATGTTTTGCCGGCACTCGCTTGAATTATTTACATTTCTCAAAGTATATAGCAACAGCAACAGCAACAACAACATACGCCCAGATCGCTACCTATTCGCCATGTTGTTGCTTAGAGTACTTTTCTATTTTTGGTTAATAATTCGGTGTGCTGTTGGTTTGTGCGCGTTGTTTTCGATGAGATCCCAGCCAAAGCCGGCAGACAGTGTGACCGCCCAACAGCCGATCATCAGATCGCCTGTTGACAGTAGTTTCAAAGTGCTCGTAGCGGTAATAACGGCATACTACAATATATGGGCGAACGGTACAAACGTAAGGGCCTTAGTTGTTATGATAGCATTTAGGCAGAACTGACTGTGAGGTGAATGGAAACATATACAAACTTCTCGTCTGTGACGTCTCCTTGCCTTAGCGGAGGAGCAGCACACCTACTTACATACATACATACACGTATAACGTTTATGAGTTCTAATGACGTCTGCACAATCGTCTTTCTGCGCCTACCACAAATGCCTGCAATTTCGTCACAGTTCCTGTCGTTGTTGTTGTTTTACGCTTTACTGTTGCAGCTGCCATGAACGCGTTGCGGTTGCAGCATTTCGTAAAAGATTACGTTAGCGAGCGCAAGTTTGGACTATTTTTAGGCATTTCTAAATTTGATTTCGTTTCTCAAATGTTTCCCCAATTAGTTGCAGACATGAAATGTAAACAGAAATGCGCAAGAGATTTTTAGTCATTTTTTTTTTGTTTTGGCTAAATAAACAAGAAACAAAAAATAAACGCCCAGCCAGAGCAGGTCGCCACCGGGCTTGCTGGCCAACTAGATAGGATGATTGGAATGAGGGAGGGCGGCCTCCAGGGTGGGCCGGTCTGTTTGGATGAGGTGAGCAATCAGCTCATAGTACAATTAGCGGTAGACTGGGCTATACGAACTGGTCGCGCGTTGAATTGGCAGTGATAGACGCGGGCGGTGAGACCATTGTGCAATGGTAAACAAAGTACATACATATGTATATGTACGCCTTTAAATATGTATATGTATGTACAATAACTAAATTTTTTGAAATATTTGGCACATATATTTTGCGTTTGTTGTTGTTACATCTGATGTTTGTACTGCTCTTGTGCAATGTTGTTGATGATGTCTTGATTGCTCGTTGCTGTCTGGTGGTTTTGTTGCAAACGCACACATACACACAATCGAGTCCAAGCAGTGCAAGAGACATCAAAAATATCAAAACGAATGACGTGGAAAGATTGTTGCAATTAAAAAGATGAATTCGTGTCTTGGAAAATTATATGTGCAATGTTCAATCGCTGATGGCAGAAATTCTTGAAATTTCCATATTAAGGGTTAATTAAATCTGATTTTAAAATTCAAATGCTTTTTCGAAATTTTCTTGAATTAAACCAGTTCACGTATTTTCTATATCTTGGCTCCATACCCGCAGAATAAGAAACCGTCTCGAAGTCAAAAATTATTATACATAAAGAACCACTTTCAAGTTTCGCCATTCTCTCAAAAGAGTTCCATTATTTATAAAGCCAACATAAAGGAAGTGTCGAAAATACGTTTTTCGCTCGGGCAACTGTACTGGCGTTGACTTTAAGTTCGACTGCGATCTGACCTTTGGCTTGTTCACAGTGCTGAATGTTCTCAAAGAACTTCAGTGCCCGCCGAGAATTGTCTATTATGTCTTCTCTCGACTGAGAAGGGATGCCCTTGAAATGTTGTCTTTGGGTTTTGAAATGAAAAAAATAGGTGAGATATATTGGGAAACTAATGTTATTGTTCCATGATATTTGTTGAATTATTGATAAGAAATCCGTCCACAAATCTGGTTGCTCTCTTAAACGCCATATAAGGCTTAGATAATATTCTCTGTTTACAGATTGACCTTCCGCAAAGGACTCAGTTCATCTAACCAGGTGGGGGATAATGTCGTATATATTCAAATTGAACACTCAACCCGTTACAAAAAAAATTTATTTAGTTAATGCCATAAGATTCACCTAACGCTGCGCAGAAGCCAATTGCATAACGTGAGGGACGGGAAGCGGACGCATGCAGATCAGACAATCAGGTATCTGAGCTGGATCATAACATGATGGTTTCACTGCACCCAAATGTCAGCAAGCAATTAGTTAGTTATTCAAAGAATTACAACGTCGTGTCTTCGCTGATTGGCTTCTTGAAACGCATGAAAATCATCCGGAATTTCGCCGAAAAATCATCTGGACTGATGAGGCCCGTTTTCACCTCGATGGCTGGCTTTGACAATTAGCAAAACTGTCGCATCTGGGGCCCGGAAAATTCAAGAATTGATGTTGAAATGCCTCTCTATCCTCAA